TTTACTATCTTCTTACTAAGATTACTACTCTTTATACTTACATTATTAACGATATTACATATCTTTCTCTTAGCCACCCTTTTGACTTTTACCTCGACGACTTCTTTATATTTATAATCGATTATCCAACTATCCCGCCGCTTATCGAAATTAATCTACTTCATATTTACGCGTGGGTCTAGACATCGCTTTCGCTTTATATCGTTTTAAAGCACCCACGCATCGAATATTTCTCCTCGATTAGAGTTCATTACTCGCCCTTACTTTAGAATTTCCAAGATCTTCGAATAGTATAGTGGGAGCCTAGGCCACTCACCGCCAATTCACTACCGCATAATCTTTTCGTCGTGAATATGTTCCGCCCACATCGCTAAATCCCTTAATACTTCGTCGGGTATTATTAGTGATAAAAAAAAGCGTATATAAGAATTAGTAAACTTTTTATCTATCTTATACTCCCTTTATATATTAAGTTTAGAAATAAACTAAAATCGTGTAAGCGAGTTTTTATTCGCTAACTTACTTAATCCGATATAAGTACCTATAAGCGTCTATAACTTCGGGTTATAAGCTGAATAACACGGGAAAGACTTGATGTAATCTGGCTGCCTATACTCCTTATCATCGAAAAATTTAAGGTTAATATTACGAATGTAGCCCTCAGCGGATACGTTGATAAGATTATATAATCCAGATACCATCCGAGCTTGCCGGTCAGCCTCGCATGGTTCGCGCGTGACTTCTTCGGTTTAGAAAGGGCTTCTATCACCGTGCTATTCTCGGCCGTAATTATACCACTTTTGGGACCCACGCATTAAGGTGGATATAGTAGAGTGAATTGCGCTTGCCTGTGACTACAACGCATAGCGCGATCTAAACGTTAATATACTTTCTGAATAGACGACGGTAGTAGCCACTGAATAACTCTCTAAATATCTGGATTATCAACCTCCATCCCATAGGCGTTTGTTATAATGACAATATGTGGCGATAAATATTACTTTGATGACATGCCGAAGCGCGCCGCGATGCTATCTTTATCACGCTTCGCTATAAGCGCGAAATAGAATATAATTAACTTGTTATACTCGATTAAATAAGATAATATTCGTATTCAGATTCGTATCAGTTTGCATACATCCACAACGGCCTTTACGGAATTTATAAAGATGATTATTTTCGAGATATTCTCCGGGGTAGCAATTTCGGGCGGAAGGAGATACTAGAGATTGAGTATATCATTTAGAGGATGGTAGGTGGAACTCAATTGTAGGTATATTTCTAGTCGATTGAGCGGTGTCTTTATAATAACCGTATTTTTAGTAAAATAATATCGATCTCATACGATCTCGAGTATTTTTGTGTCAATCGTTGCCGACACACTTAAGAGTGGAATCCATTCTGACAATCATATGCGAAGAATCTTAAGATTAAAGTACGCTAGTCGAAAGGTCTATTATTTATTAACTAGATATATCTTATTAATAGCTAATAAATATAGGTTCGAAAAAAAGCTGGAATATCGTAATACGTCGATATTGAACTCTACTCTAATAGTAATTTCCGGACTTGTAAAGACTATGTAAATAAGCTTTCTATTAAGATAAAGCTAATATCGATCTTATTATATATAAATTAATTAGAGCGTATAGCTGCGATATTAATAGAATTATTATTATCGCTATTTAGGATAAATAATTAATATTTAGATATACAATTTAACTTAGCGCACTACTTATTTAATAAAGTATTTAGAGATATAATAATTAATATCATCTTAAATAGTATAAAAAGTAGTGGTATGAGTTAAAAGATAATACTCTTTCCGAATCCCGTCTTCGCAATTAAAATTAGATCCTTCACCTCATTTATTAATATACTTAACGTTTCCCATTACTTCTCCTTTAATTCTACTTCGAAATAATTTATAGCGACGCCCTCGATATACTCTCGACTTATATATCCCTCGAAGATATCTATTCTCATCGCTAATTAATACGCGATTATCTATAAAACGACTTTAAGTGCTAGATTACTATAATCGAGTTAGATATTACAATTAAATATATTTCTCGAAGAATTGTATTATTAGTACTAACTATCGATAGTAAAGAATTAAAGTTAGTTAATAATACTGAGTATTATACTAAGGGTCGAAATTCTACGCTAATTTAGGTATTTTTCGATTATATATATCGATATCGCGATATTCGAATTACGTGATATTTTAAAATAACGTATTCAATAGAATATATATAAAAGTATCAGCCTATATAGCGTAATGTATTATAGTAATTATAGAGTAATTATAATTACGTCGCGAAGATAGGTGTTGATGAAGAAAAAATGTAACTTAAAAATTTGTATGAGGCGTACGCGAAAATAACGCGGATCTGGCAAGATTACGGGGTTTTGCACTCAGACCTACCGCCGTTTAGCTGCGAAGTCAATAGGCTAACCCGAAGGGGCTTAGCGAGGCGAGCTAACCCGAAGGGGCTTAGCGATCTTGGCAGGTCTGAGGGACTGAGGCAACTAAGGTACCCGAAAGAGCAAGAGTAAAGTAAGTATGGAGTACATTACGCGAGGTCATCGTAAATGGACATTAAGTAGGTGACTGTTGCAGAGGTTGGTAGAGTAGGTATTGAGTAGGTATTCCTCTCAAAGCGATTACTCAATCGGCTATCCATGTATTCATGTTGCTGCATATTGTACTTATAGTGTCGATACCTTTCGGGCTTCATACCGATCTAGCGTTAGAGTAACTGTTTGCAGCTTAGCAGTCCCATGTGCTTCCTGCTTATCTTACGCCAAGGCTCGGTTCGGATGTCTGGAACTCCGTTAAATATTTGCACAAAAATGGCTTGAAGAAACAAACTGTGGTCATAAGTGAGATCAAAAGCCCTTCATCTCGTTTCATTATTACGGTGGATCTCTTGGTCGTCTTCCGGTCCAATTTTCGGTGCTGCAAAAAGATTCGTGGTCCTTTTGTATTCCGTATCCGACTGCCTGTTTATCCTCCTGACAACGGCAACGGAGTTACCGACGGGCCCTCGGGCAACAACGTATCTACTCACCGTTGCTGGTGGGGTAGTTGGGGGGTGGCTACGGGGAACTCGGGCCGGGTCAATATGTTGGCTTTGGGGGATACGGGTATATATATGGTATCTTGTGGTTTATTATATATTGGGTTTTGTGGACACGTATGAACTTTGGTGATTAACGATATTCGGCTAAGTGGATTTTATTACCCAAGGCTGCGGTCCTCGGGGATACTTGCATCTACTCCCTGCGAACTTCACCCCGACAGCATAACGGGGGTGTCAGATCTCGTCGTACACCCGGGGCCAAGCCGCTTCCCCAAATCTGGTTAGGGTGTGCGACGAGATCTGACACCCTCGACACCCCCGTGCTACTGTCTGTGACTGGAGGAGGAGGAGACTCTTGGAGATTCTGCCCATGTTATGTTATCATGCGAATGCCATTCTTATACCGCATCTCTCCAATCTACACTTCAATACCGTTGTGTAGATGTGGTGCGCCTTACAATGTAGACTCCTCGGTGAATCTCGGTCATGACATAGTCATCTAGCACATCGACATCAAAAACCCCCCAGTGCCCGTTTACCATAGAACTCAATATCCCACCCAGCAGACCCCAAGACACAAGACACAAACGAAGCGCAAACGACCATGGCCTCCAAAGACCCCTCACCCCTCAAAGATCTCATAACAGCAAACCACATCCTCCACCACCACGGCGTCGTCGACGCCTACGGCCACATCTCCCTGCGCAATCCCAACAACCCCCGCACATTCTTCCTCTCGCACAACGTCGCCCCCGCCCTCGTCTCCTCCCCCTCCGACATACTCGAATACAACATCGAAGACGCCTCCCCCGTGAACAAAGACGCCGCGGCGGGGTACAAGGAACGGTGCATCCACAGCGAGATCCTGAAGAAGTACCCCGGCGTCAACAGCGTCGTGCACTCGCACTCTGAGGCCGTCCTCCCCTACAGCATCAGCGGGGTGGAGATGAAGCCCTGTTTCCACATGGCCGGGTTCCTGGGTACGTAGCACGCCGGCACCTTTCCCCCCCCCCACACTTTCCCCATCAATCGCCGCCATATCAACCTACCACCATCCAACCACGGATGCAACATGACCTCCGCCCCAACCGTATCTATAGCGCGCGCGACGTTGATATCGCTCGCAAAGGAACCCACGTCCCAGTCTTCGACGTCGCAACCCACTACACGCGCACCTCGACTCACGACCTCCTCATCACGACCACCCACCTCGGCGCCGCCCTCGCCGCCGCCTTTGCCGACCCCGACGGCTACGTCGCGCGCGTCGGCGCCCTCGCGTCCAGCTTCCTCTCCAAAGACGGCGGCGGCGACGCGGAGCCGCGGCCCGACCACACCGTCGTGCTCATGCGCGGGCACGGCTTCACCGCCGTGGGGGCCGACGTGCGGGAAGCGGTGTTCCGCGCCGTGTACACGCAGCAGAACGCGGGCGTGCAGACGACGGCGATGGTGTTGAGGAATGCGCAGATGGGGGCGGTGGAGAGGGGCAAGGGGAGGGAGGAGAGGGAGAAGGGGGTGCGCGATGAGGGGGTTCGGTGGTTGGGGGATGGGGAGTTGGGGGATTGTAGGCAGATGGGGCAGGATACCATGGGTAGGCCTTGGGGTTTGTGGGTTAGGGAGGTCGAGGCGAATGGGTTTTATGTTAATGAGGCGTAGGGGGATGCGTCGAGGCTGATGGGATGTATGTGGGTGAGGTACAGAGGGGCCAGGTCGATAACAATGTTTTTTAATTGGTTCTGTCTGACAAATCAATGAGTCTATCATCGTTCTGTCTTTAAGAGATACACGTAAAGAAAGGCGGAATGATGCCTCGACTCATAGCAACTCGCGGCCTCCCTACAGCGGTGTTCCACCCATCCATAGCCAATCTGTGCCGAGCCCTCCCAAATCATACCAGCGCCTGCCCTGATAGCCAGCCTAAAGATTGCCCATATTCGGTGCGTACCATGACCCAGGCGTGGCCGAAGGCTCATGAAGCGGATTGTTGTCTGGAGCCACAGCATTGGCATAAGGTGGTGGACTCGTCGGGGCAACGTGGGTTTGATTCGCATCCATCTCGACAGGACCAACCGGTGAGCCCTCAACTTCAGCACGGGGATGTGAGCCCTCAATCTCGTTCGGGATTACACCCTCTGTGGGCTGTGCTCGAGCATCGGATTTATCGCTTGCTTCTCGTCGAACATTCATTTCAACGATGGTACTTCTAGGTCCGCGAGGTCCACGTCCGCGTTTGATGCACCACCAGAGACAAAGAATGGTGCCAACGAGGCCCACCATCCCACTTGGGACTCCGATTCCGATGTCGACTTTCTCGTTCCGAGGCATACCTGTGGATACATCGGATTGGGGAGTGGCTGTCGGAAGGGATGTAGCTGTGAAAGAACCTGCCATCTATCAGCATGCAAGCCCCAACTGGTGCACAGATGTGGAATGCCTACCCGTGGTGCTTCCGGAGATTGAAGTGGTGGCGCCACTGCTGATGGATGCTGGACCAATGCTTGCCCCCACAAATGTTGCAGACACTGCTTCAGCCGAAGAGACAGCAGCAACAAGACCTAGGCCATTGCTGGCGGTATTGCAACAGCTACTGCTCGTCCCATTGACAGAGCAGCAGAAGTCCCCGTTCTTGACCGCAGAGCCGTGGCATTCGACCACCCAATTGGCATCGCCTGATACGAACGTTAACTTGACCAGAGACATATCGGCAGCGGAGTGCCTACCCGAGGTGCAGAATGTAGGGCAGATTGCCGCCTTGTACATACTGTCTGTACAGCCACCGTTGTAATAGACCCCAGAGGGCGTCACGCAGAGCCGATTGGTAAGACAGGTTTGGCCGGTTTCGCAGCAGAGACTGACGCTGCCTGCTTGGGGGCTGCAAGGCCCGTAGTTTGGAAGGACGACGGCGTTGGGGCTGCTGTGACCGTAGCAGGACATGGTGAAGCTTTGTGCAGATACTATATTCCTAAAATGTTCGGATCTTGTGGGTTATAATCGAGCTCTGTGGCTATACTAATCGAAGGATGGTCAGATGTGGTGTGTTGTAATCGAGAACATGTATCCAGCAAGGAAAGTAATCAGAATGTTTCTGTTGGACGCGGTTTCCAGAAGTGGGTGACAGCAGAGGGAGGGGCAATAACCACACAAGGCAAGAGCTCTCATGGCCCGAGGCCAATATATAAGTTCAGGCAGAATCCTGCACATCGGTCACCTTCTTCAGCCTGTCTTTCTGCCTCTTCTTAATTTTCTTCTCTCTATTCTTCTGTGTTCGCTTCTCTCGCTCAGCAGCCTCTTTCTCCGCCCGGTATTGTCTAGCTACCACCTCTTTGGCAGCTCTTGCCTCAACCCGTTTCCGGATCACAACCCGCCTTTTCTTCCCACTTCGCTTCCTCCTGTTGGTCTGTGCTTGCAATTGATGCTCTAGCCCCACCACGTTGCCGGATTCTGTCGTCTTGATGACGGTGACTCGCCACGGCAGCTCCATGCCTCTCTGTACCAAAGGTCAGGTCCCCATCTCTCATTTTGCACAAAGCGACATACCCATCTCATCTTGAGACCCTCAACGATATCCTGGCCAGAGACTGCAGCTCGTGCGTACTGCTGTGCGAGCTCTGCACCTGTATCACCCGCAAAATAGTATTTGTCTGGACGCCCTACACTGGTGAAACCCGATTCACCACCCGCAGGGCTTGGTGATCTTATAGCAATCCGCTGGGGACCATTGCTGGCCCCGACCGATGCCGTTCCTGACGCGTGTGGTCTTGTGAACAAACGAAAATCATATTCCTCCCTGTCTTCGGTTTGTACCTGCTCAACGCTAGCTCCACGGATTTGGTCTACTTCGGTTCCATCATTTGTTGCCAATGCTTGAGAGGGGTCCGCATATAGCTGCTCCAGCTGCTGGCGGAAATAGGACTCGAGGACAGGATCAGGGCTGTTTGGCTCGGAGATCGGAGAGACAAGGTCTGTACGTCCGATGCTGCGATCATCCATGATACCGCCTTGGGTAGGAAGACATAGTCTTGTAATGACTTACACGAGGATATGATACTGTGACTTAAACGTGGCCAAGGAATGAGTTGGTGACCCTAGCGTTTGACTAGACCCTAAGTAGTTAGATAAGAGTCGCGCCAAGATCTCTAGTCTCGTCTCCGCAAGGTTCAGGTTGATAGAGAAAATAAGAAGCACCGCAACACCATTGTACCAGCGCCATCAGGAATCGAACCTAACACGAACTAAATATTCGCCAAACAGATAGGGCACTCGTTTCGCACCCATCTTGTGACCAAGAGCAGTGACTACTTGGGACTGAACCTTCATAAGCTTTTAATGATTGACATACACGAAACAAAGGTACCTCTCGGAACAGCTTAAAAAAGAAGGCCATAGAAAGGCAGGGTTCCTTGCGCCTTTGCACAGCTCAGTCAGACGGATCCAAGAGCGGATAAGTAGCGCAAAGAGCTCCCCGGCCAGACCAGTCTCAGCATGGTCCCTGCCTGGCAGATCTACTGTTGCTGGTGGCAATCACATCAAGATTGAAACAGTACTGATTTAACCCTGCCTCCTGGCTTTTTTCCTATTTTCTCGATGCACTTCTCCCAGAACGCGCGTATCCTTGCTTTTTGGACGTTGCGATCACGTCGTCTCCATCGGAAATCTCTCTCCACTTTCTCTTTGGTGCCTCTCTATTTCCACCACGTGCCCTCTCTCTGGTCTTGGCTGCCTTCATCACATAGATTCCCAATGCGGTCGATGAGCGGTCCTCACAATGACTGCCTACAAGAGTTCCGGTCCATGTTTTTCGTAAAAAAGATATTCGTACAGGAGACAGCGGGAGAAGACGCCGGCGAACACGCGCGGCGGACTTCCTTGGCGGGCCAAGCTGTCGAAGTGGTGCTAGGCTTGGCCTGGATTTCTTTGAGACTCGCTGCGGGAGCTCCGTCAGCGGAGGGATCGGGAAGGGTAGGTAGGATCCGGAAAGACTCAAGGTCAGCTGAAGAGGCAAGATCCGCTTTTGATAACGACGGACCGCTGCTGCCGCACCAGGAGGTAGGCAAGGCGAAGATGGTTGGGAGTCGTTTCCTGCCTCTTCTTCCACTTCCGGCGTTCAGATACGTCGCTGACTGTAATTGAACCGCGAGTGACTTGATACCGTCCCTCTTCGTCGTCATCTTCGTCCTCTAAATCGGCCTACTCCCTCCTTTTTCTGGACTATTCCTTGGCTTTTGGCATTCTAGACTTATGGTTGGCTGGCGTCTCGTTGTACTCCAGGGGCCGGCATGACGCTGAGTGGATGCGGGAGGGTTTATTGGGTATGTGGATTGGCGAAGAATAAATGTGGTGAACGACACGAGCAATGTTATTCACTGGTCTGAGAATGTGCTCTGCTAAGCGCAGACGAGATCTTATGAGAGAAACCGAGGAGAGCCTACGACAGCGATCTACGAATCTGAATAAGCAAAGGATATCAACGAGACTATGTATGGACGGGGGAGTAGAGTATTATTGAGCTAGCGAGCAAGAAGACATGACACGTCTGCTGTCCATATATGCTTCACTATCATGTGAGGTGCGAAGCGAATAAAGCAAACGTCGCAGATAGCACGCCATCGACATGACCCAGCAGCAACCATAATGATCCCACTGACGGAACCGAAATCTGTACTCAAGCGGGTCAGTCGTTATTCCTTTTTGTTTAAATCAAAGCACTTTCTGGCGTCAGTAGCCACTCCTTCGTTACTTTCATGCCCGTTCATGAAATGCATGTGGAGCATACGTTGCGCTTGGCAGCTTGCTACCCATACAGGTTGTCGATTATAGGTGATCAGTCAATGGCCAATGGCCGCTTTGCCGTTCAGGTAGTGCGCGTGGAGGCTTAACGAGGAGTGGCTCTTGACATTTCCAGAGCCTATGCTTCCAAGTCCGGAGGATTTGTCGCGTTGCCCGACATGCACAGGAACAGCAGGCTCTTGATGCCTTCTAAAACAGTCTCATTGCTCGGGTTCTCGCCTTGAAGAAGTAATGCTGACTCTGGGATCTTCATAGGCAGAAAGCCGGTCAGCTTTTCAAGAATACAGTAGCCACTCTGCCGCTGCAGCTTCAGCAAGCTAAAGGTTCCTGAATGGGAGCGTTGTACCTGCTCTGACATCTTGAGGTGTACAGGCTTTGTTCCACTGGTCTTGAAAATTACAGCTTGTCGCTGGGAGGCTTTGTCACTTTTTGAAGTAGACTCGTACTTCTAATTCGGTGAAGTCCATAGCCATCTCTTTTTGGAGCTATGATCCACCTTGCAAGTCTAGCATGGCTTAGGTCAAAGGACTACATCGATCTTTAAAAAGCGTTGGTGCGAACGTCGCCAGAAGAGCTAGTTCAATAATGCTCTTTAATTCTTTATAGGTATGTATTATAACAGACATTCGATCGAATCCGGGCCCAGCCACTCCAGGCATGGTGCCAGAAGAAGTGGTAGTCTAAGGTACTGGCATCTATCGAAATTGGTGCAATCATAGGTAACAAGCCTAAACATTTTGGCACTAGATGTGCAGGAACAGTCCAAAAAGAGTGTTTCAAGGACCACAAAATCCGTGCGTCGTGGCTGTATTGTCCACATCCGAGGGTTCCTACCCCTGCCACTTGCTGTTTCCCTGTCGGGCTCCTTGAAAAGATATTGATATTGTGGAATATAATATGGGAAATCACATCGGAACGGTCGTTGATGCTACATCATTGCATGTTGAGTGAGCAAAACATTGAGAAAAGATAAAGCTCTTCTGTACGAGATGCGAGGCAGTCGGGACCACCTCGCAAGCCCTCCGACGTCCGTGCATGTTTGAGTGGCACTCTTGCGAGATCACTTCATACAGTATTGCTCGACGAATAGCAGGCAGGTAGGGGTTCTTTGAGAATACTTTTTCGGTTGTGGACTGCAATATTGGTATATCTATGCCGTCTTTTCATACTCCGTATTCAACCCAAAGTCGGAGGGGTAACTGTCCCCGAGCTCCCTCTGCGCATCTTCCAAAATAGCCCCATTTTTCGCCAGTCGCGTGTCGTGTGTTCTTGGATACTCGCAATTAGACTGCGTCGCGTAATTTCCTCCCCTAATTGCGACACATTTGGGGAACGGTCAAAAGGACCAAGACCCCTGCTGTGACCTACGGTTTTTCCACCTTCAGCACACTTCGTTGGCTCATTGCAAACATGCGTGGTACAGCTGCGAGTATCTGTATTTTTCTCCTAAACGCAACCCTCGTCAAGGTGGCGCCTGCTACGGTAGGTGCGAGAATCGATTCAGGTACCTCTATCGTTCAACTTAGTGACGTGCTTCCAAGCGTGCAAAACGCTACCTCAAAGTACGTAGGCCTGCTTCTGCGAGGTATGAGGGGAAAAGTGAGCTCTAATGGTTGCGTTTTCTCAGTCTGTCCAGCAGCTTCTGCTCTAAGAACAACATAAACTCGGATCTCGAAAGGCACATGATATCCATCCCCTATACAACGACGATTCTCATCATACTGTACTGCCCCGTGGTACCTATAGATCGAAACAGCATACGCGAAACGATCGCCGCGGCGAGCACTCATATGAATGCCCAGATCCGCATTCACGGCGACATATCTCTACTGCCTGCCGATGATCCGTATGCAACGCCGGTGATTGAAGGTGTGAATTGCATAATGAGTGTAACATCTCAGAGGACACGAACACAATCTATCCCCTACCGCCTGACGTACGAGATTACTTTGAACGCTTTGCAAGGGTTGAACAAATTTCTGTATACGGACAATCACGCAGCTAGCGCTGTGACTGAGGTCTTAGATCCGGGTCTCACGGGAAGTATGAGAAGGATTGGTGTGATCAGTATCAGCCCTGTGCAGGTGTTGGTGAATGAGTCTTGACACTTAGGTATGCTTCTGTATTTAGAGAGATATTAGCGGCAGCAATTCTACTTCTAGAGAGCAGCTTTCGGGCGGTCATTTTCGTGGTGTCAAACGATCACTTGTTTTACGTAGATGATACGCTTGAAGTACGTTGACAGATGGATGGGTTTACCCAGACATCCCCGGGACCCGTTGCTATACAGAACTAGACCTAATGGACGAGGTGGCTCTGGTGTTCGTAGACTCGACTCTATTGATGGCTCAGCCCGACAGCCGAGACATTGTGCACCCCCAGCGCCAGACGATGGGATACCAAGGGAGAGGGCTTCTTCGTAGCTGTTGTGCCCGAGGTTACTCGGAAACTGTTATACTACATGCGCCTAGGCGCACCGACCCTACGGCGAAACCCGCTCCAACTCCTCATCCCTCCTAATATCAATCTTCGTCGTCATCAAAATATGCCTGTTCCCCATCCAATTCTCCTCGGTACTGTCACTACGGCCCGGAGGTACACCTGAAGATGTAAGGGTTGTGCCGTCGTTGCCGTTGAGGCGCGCGTTGCGGCGGTTGTAGCGGTGGTAGTCTGAGATGGTGGATTCGTGAAAATACTGTGAAAAAAGGTGTAAGAGTGGGGATTGAACCGGCGATGAAGATATTGTACATGTCGACCCTGCGGGATGGTCAGATGTAGAAAATGGTTTGAAAGGCGGTGGGGGTGGGCTCTTACGCATTCCAGGTGACGAGATATGCAAGATCGTCTGGCGAAATGGGGTAAGCTGGGACCTGAGGATCGAGGAGTTGGGTTGTTTGCTTGCATGTGATGTCCATCGTGATTCCAATGCGGTGGAAGTTGGTTGTCTTCACGATAGAAGACACGGCCGCTCTGAATGATCTTGCTTAGGTCTCACCACTGGGACAATTGATGTGGTAGGGACGGCTCACAGCAGACCGAATCCGAAAAGCACACATAGCAGCACTTTCTTTGCGAATTTTATTTGCAGGCTCCAGAAAAGCACTATCGGGTACACTGCGAGGCATATGTCGGTGAAAGCAGAGAGACTTGGATCGGATGAGCATAAACTACTTTGCCCGAACACAATTCATCCATCGCTTACTGCCTTGAAAGAAGGCAAAGTTCTGGTTCCTGATCCGACCGTTGCAGGTACCCGGAATTGCTTCGTTCCATAATTCCTGTAATGGCGAGCACTGGGCTAAGATGAAGGCTATCAAGAGATTGATTGAGGCGATTTGGAGCGAGCCGAGTGTCCACAGGTACGCGAGCTTAGTTTTGGCGTGGCTGGGTCCTTGGATCGTGGTGAGGTATGTGACAACGGCGATTTTACCGGTCGTGTTGGCGAATAGTTGGAAGATCGCGCCATCCAGCTCCATTTGAGACTGTACATAATTTGTACGGCGTCTAAGGACTTGAGGTGTTGGCCCATGCCATGATACACGGACAACGTTGTGAAGACTTGACTGGTTGTGGCTGCGAGCTGAGGTTGACTCGTTAGAAAGCTCTATTGTGGAATGTGACTAGGAGAAGAATTTAAGGTGCTTACGAAGGTGAAGGAGGCAATAAGAGTATCCAGTCTTGGGGAGCGGAGGATCAAGATGTCGGCATATAGACGCATGCAGCAAGCGATGAGGACGAAGCCAAGAAGATCCATGACACTGCATCCAGTATGATACCTTGCTTTGAGTCATTCGCGGAAGACATTATATCCACAACATGACCTCAACCCGCTGCGGACGCGCGTTGAAAGGAGGAGGATGAAGACTCGCAAGATGAGAAGAAGTCATGGTGGCCCCTTTCAACCAAAAAGGCACCGAGTCCGATATTCAGGTACCCGGCGTCCCCGGGATAAGGGAGGGAGGGTACCCATGAGTATGATGCAGCAACCTCCCTGAAATGGGATAGAACTTTTTCCATCGTAAGGAAAATCGGAAAAAATAGTCCATGGCGGCGAGTCGCGAGTACACCCACCATCACCACCGTAGTGCCATGAGTCAGGGCACACTTGGATGGCTGGACGGCACGAAATGGAATGTATGGTCATTGGTCAAGAATGGTCAAGAATGTGGAGTCATGTGGATCGATTGAGAGATGCTTGCGAGGTAGTGAATAGTGATGCACATGGATGCGGCTTGCATGATGCTTGCATCAGATAGGCAGTAGCATAATGCAGGCAGTACTACTAAGGTATCAGCAAGGTATGCAATCCTACCCTCCCACTTACTCCACCACTCGAGCCACCCACCATGTTGAGCCTTATCGCTAAGCGAAAGCTGAGTTCAGGTTTCTGCCATCGTATTAAGGTAAAGTAGTCAAGTAAGATTACTGAAAGGCCTCGGCCCGGCGGACTGTGACCGAGCGGAGCCAATAAATGACAGATGAAATACAATGACTTCGTGGGTCAATATTGATCTCCCGATCTGAGCTTGGACATCTTTTCTCCAACTCAATGGTTTCCGTAAACAGTATCATAGACGATGTCGCCGCTGCGGCAGAGGCTGATGCTGGAGGATGTGACCCCGAGGCTCATGCGAGACTGCTACAAAGCATCCAGAATTCGACCCTGGCTTCCGAGAAGCCTTTAGAAACCGCCAAGAGAATATTGTACCAAGTGAGCAAGTTCCACGATGATTACAGATACCAGAAGCAAATGATGCTGATATAATTCCTAATCTGCCAACCGCAGCCACCTATCAACCTTGCCATGCGTGTAGCCGTCGAGTTGCCGTTGTTCGAGGCCGTGTGTGCTACTGACGGTGACTCGATCACCGCTCGAGAGATAGCCAAATCCCAAGACGTTTAAGAGGACCTTGTCGGTACGTTGGCGCCGCTTCGACATAAAAAGAGGGAACGTATGCCGATAAAATGCAGTTTGTATAATGCGCGCCCTCACGGCAGTGGGTGTCTGCGACGAGCCGGCCTTTGTAATTACTCGCCCAATGATGTCACCAGAGAATTCACATCAGGAGGGCTTGTGGATGGGGTGAAGTGCCTCTCTGTACCACCTGGCGCAATTTCTGGACCGAGATTGCTGACGATGTGAGTTCAGCTATGATACTGTCATGCCAGCCGCCGCCAGTACAGTCGAATATCTCAAACGTACCGGGCCCCGCGTCCCCAAACCCCCAGAAGAGACTGCTTTCGCCTACGCCGAGAAAGCAACCCCGTTCGAGTGGACGAAGAAAGCTCCAGAGCAGCGGAAATACTTTGACAGTTTCGTGACAGGACGCCGCAAAGAAATTCAAAAACCTAAAAAGGGGCCCGGTAGCCCTGAGATGCGACCAAAAGAATGCTATTTTGCGCCATTTTGAATATAATTCTTGAAGGATTGAGTAGAGGAGACCTTGAAATTCGCTTAAGGATGTACACTTTTTCTTCAACTTTCGGTGGCTGACTACCTAGATTGGCAAGCATTTCTGTGGGTATTCACTTGAGTAGTTTGAGAGATGGCAATATTGGAGATGGGTCGAACAGTGAGCATGGCGGCAGTGTTGTTTCTATGTCGCGAAAGACGACTAGTCTAGATTGCGGGCAACAGAATCATCAGAGCTGGAATTTCTCCCGTCCTTCTTCAAAGGAGCCGTCTCTCTATGTTGCTCTTGCGTTCATCATTGTAAACGGGTCTCTTCATTAAATATTCGAACGTTCGCATCGAAGCACCACACACCAAACCCATGCGCAAAGACGCTGATGAGGAATATCTCATCGCCGAGAAGAAATGGGTTCGGCTCGTACTCTTCGTAGGGTCGTAGATCAAACTTCTGATTCTTGATAGAAAAGCCCATTTCGGCTTCGCTACAAGTCGAGTTTTGAAGATCGATGACCCGCAAGACAGGTATGTCAGGGTCAGAGTTCAGAATGTATGCAGCGTGCTTCCAGTAGAACAAAGGAGATGTTAGTTGGGGTTTCGTGATGCGAAGACACGTGATTTCCTGCGTGCGATATTCTAGTCGATCTTCTCGGAAGTTGTAGGAGATAGGCACCAGTTCGGAAAAGTTGTCACATTCACGCTGACGCTTGGAAAATGACCAGATCACAGCTTGTCCATTGGCTTCCTTAGGTACGAAATCGTCAGAGCAAGCATGACAGTCTTGTATGCCAGGGACTTCGAGGACACCTTGAGTCAAGACATCTCCATCGAGGCTGGTACGCATGTAGTGGAAGTGCGTTGCCTTGTCGTGTTGGTGATCAGGAATGTAGACTCCCTCAAACAAAAGCAGGGACTCTCCTGTGTTGTTTAACATATTTTTAAAATCGAACGTATACCCGCGTTTTTTGGGAGGTAACGCCACGCAAAAAGAGGATGTCCTCTGATCTTTCAATGTCCAAGTGGTAACTTCAACGCGAAAGCTCGCTTCAACAATGGTCGGTTCCCAAAGCTTCGTCACAATAACCAAAGTCTCGCCCGAAACGGCAATCTCTTGTCCTTTGTTGGATGGCAGCCTCAAACAATATCCGTCTCCTGCCCTAAACTTCCACACATGGCACCTGCCTGAACCCAAAGCCGCGATCATCGAGGAAGACACGGCTATGGCGTTTACTCTAGTTCTGGCCTCTGGCAAGAACGACCACTCCTGCCCTGTCCTGAGGTCCAATGATTTGACAAAGCCGGAATCTGTAGTGTCTGCCCAGGCCATGATACCATCTGCATAGGCCACAAGATCGGCCACGGTTCTGGGGTCCGAATTGTCTGGAAAGCAGTTCAACTTGTGGCTCGCGTAAGTGAAGGCGTGTCCAGTACGGTAAGCGTCGATGTGCTCTGCCTTGAGACAGAGTATGGAGCTTTCAGAGAGGCCATCAGGAATATGCAAAGCTGTGTCGGCAGCAGGCGCGGGGAACCAATCTCGGAGTAAGTAGTGCACTGTTTGAGGTGATGATAGAATCTGCTTCCACTTAGAGGATACTCTTCGAGCTTGGAATGCCTGATAAAGAGGCAGATACTGCAAAATGACCTGACTGAGTTCGGGAGGAAGCTCCGCAATGATGTCGCAGCGTAAATCCACCTCCTCGAGTGTAATGCGTAGTTCTCGAATCTGTTGGTGCGTTAGGATCTTGACTAAGGCCTTGAGTCTATGGCCTTAATCAGCACATATGGCAATGCGCTGACATCTAAGGTACACTGACGCTCTTCGCTGAAGCGCGTTGGCATTCAACGCTTGAAACCGGGCAACGAGAGCTTGACAACCATCCTGGCTTGAATCTTCCATTTCCACAATCAACAAGCTTGAGTCTGCAGGATCCAAGACTGCCGATGGCTTGTTGATATTGGCAGGCTGGGAATTCACAATCTAGCCACGGCGTGAATGAGTGTACGTGTTGAGGGCGGAGTGAGAACGCTCTGAAAGTATGTTGTATGGTGCCTGCAAACCGGTACGTAAAGCTTGAATACTTGATGAAAACTCTTTAAAGTTCGCCATCGAGGGACGAATAAGTTGGTCCAAGACCAAGAGTTGAATTTGGCATGAACGTGAAGGATGGGAAATGGAGGAAAGATACAATACGGCAACGGTGATAGATTACGTGTACGGCTAGTGTAGCGCTACCGGTATTACACGGGTTTACGTCTTTGATCACTGTTAGACGAAGGTTCTCAAAGCACTGACAGTGCGTATCTCCATATCTGCGTCTACGGCATGAGCATTTGCTCACGACATGGCTGCTTTGGCAAACCGATCGGAAGGCGTTGTATTGATTATGATGGCAGAAGAAAAGAATTAATACTTCGATCTGTGGAAAAAGCAAAGTTCATGAGTACCGCTTTGGTCTTCGAGGACGAGAGAGTGTCAATAGTCGTCTGGATGTTGAAGAGGTGGTCTCTACTTGTACGCAAGCGACCACGTCTCATCTCTGCAGATTCTGCCGTTAGTCCCCTCTTCTCCGTATCAAGATTTAATATCTAGCCACTTATTCGTCCTAGCTGGTTGTCAGCACCCTGTGCGTTTATCGAGAGTTGCATATCTTGCTGGCGAGAACACCACTTGCAAGGAGGTCTCGCCATCCGGCGTGAGACCATTTGCTAAGATATGAGCCCCTTACAAGCGGCCCTTTGATGTACGTGAAAGAATGTCTGAGTTGCTAAACCACGGTTTCATGGCTAGAGGCTTGAAAATCTCTGGCGAGGATCATATCTGCGTGACACTGTGGTCATACATTCGCCATCTACCATCACCTCTGAGAGATATTCCCAATACCTGGCTCTTGCTCCGCGTCATTTTCTCCTCTGCGGAAGATCGCCTGGAATTAAAAGAGTAGACGATGGACCACACGGGCGGGACACCGCCTGGGACAGCTGATGACATGATCCGGTGGAAAGACGTAGCGTACACGGATAATCATCTGGACGAGCAAGGGCAGCCCGAGGTAATGGATCTGAGAGAATCGTTATGCAAGGCAGCTGAGATGAGCTTGCCGACACTGCCAGAATCATATGATATCTCACCATCTTCAGATGAAGTACTCGAGGATTTATTCCTTATAAGGGATGAGATCTTCTTGATTAGCATACAAGGAGATGCTTGCGTGGTTCGGAGCTTCGATAAACTCGTCAACATTCACTTGGTCGCGCCGTTCTCCCATAAGCGACTTAATCACAAGCTGGATCCCTTGGGTACAATCCTATAATGCGGAAGAACAACTAGCGCTGTCTGCAAAGGTAAAGCCTGAAAACATTTTCGGAAGGATATATGGCAAGGGTGCAGCAATCAGACAGCTCACGCAAGATTATTAATGGGGCCTGGGTTTCGGGAGGCTTGCTGCTATGGTCGTTGTAGCGAACCGTGGAGCGATATCAACATGGTTCACTGTTCACTCTCGCGTACTCTGCGGCATGCTTTGACTCCTTTGCTCAAACTTTTGATTGCTCTTTGGCAAAAGGTTTGGCATTTCACACTTGCCAGTTTGATGAATGAAGGCTGGTAGAAACGAGGATCTCAGGAAAGAAACGCACCTAGCCAGTCGGCTTTGTAGTGACGACAAATAGGAATGACTAGTCTGCGGAGATCTACCCCGACAAGAGAGGACCTGGTACAAAATCAAAGTCGAGCTTTTCAACCCACATCGGCTGCAGGGCGTGGCGACTAGCTGAATGTCTGGCAAGCTGTCTAATGTCCATAGTCTTGGGGACTCTCATAGTTCAAACCAAATGGATATATAGCTGTCTCAGTTTTCTGTCTAATGAAGAGCGAATGAAATGCTCTATGCACGAATAGCAGGGAGAACTGCGGGGATGTCTCAGCTAACGGCTAGCAACATAGTTCTGAACAAAGGCGACCATTCCAGGCAGCAGTAGCAAACATAGCTCCCAACAGGAACCCTTAAGGCGCTGGATGCCGCAATACCAGTCTTCATGGACCATAACGATTCACAACAGGGATCTTCGCCTCCATTTGTGAACGCGGCACAAGCTGCACAACGGAGACTTCGTAACGTGGACAGCGTAAACCGTCGTACCAGAGAAGCCAAGATGGTGTCTAGGTCAGTCTCCAAAATGGTCTCATCCGACCCTTTCCTGATGAGGTGTGAAATCTAGCGCTCTACCACTCTTCTTGCCAGATATCAAATTCAATGGAAAGCTCTCATGCTGCAAAGAATACGAAAAGGAGGGACTCCTCGACCACCAGAGAGGTCGCCATTCCTTTTCGTGGAATAGACTGGCATGGGCAATTCAGAAGCATGTGGATCCGAAATGCATCGAACGTTATCTTGGGAGCTACGATCAGTCTGTGATGCAGAATGAGCTCCTGGATTCGACTTCACCAGCCTCAGAGGATGGGAATATGTTCCCAATACTGTACTTTGCTGCAGAGCGAAACTCTCGAGAAATTGTGAACATGTTGTGCTATAGAGGCGCAAATATAGGTGCCAGGGCCCAACCATCGGGATTGCCTCTATTGGCATATACGATCATGAGCGCCGAGTACAATCTCTCGGACACGACAGACACCGTTGTCGCTTTGCTATCGATGGGTGCAATACCCAACGACATACCTCGGGATATGTGGTGTGACTACGTTGCGCGTCCAAAGAATGCGGATCCTAAGGATTCGCTAGCTAAGAATGTTGGTGAAGAGTGGTGTACAGCAGAGATACGGGATGCGCTTTGTAGGACCCTCAACCTCATGCAGCGATACTTTCTCTGGAAAGCCGAGCGTACTGAGCGGCCAACGAGTAGGAAGAAGCAGGTTGCGCATGCCCACAACATGATGCCACTTTTCGAGCTTCCCTACCGCATCATAGGGCAAACAACAGCGACTAAGCAGGTCGAAGAAGCCGTTGCCAGTCGTCTCTTATACAGCACCACGCAACCGCTCGTCTTGCTCTTCACGGGTCCTAGTGGTCATGGGAAGACCGAGCTAGCCAGTAGCCTCGGTCATCTCTTATCGCTTCCGATCCTGACGGTAGACTGCTCTGTATTGCACCATAGTACCGATTTATTGGGCATGCATGCCGGTTATGAGGGATGGCAACAGGGTTCCCCACTCAGCGCTCACCTTGCGCAACATGCTGGTGCAAGAAACGTAATCTTCCTAGACGAATTTGACAAGACCACAGAAGATGTACGCCAATCACTGCTTCTGCTATTTGAGGGCAAATACACTGATCGCCGCAACAACAAGTCGCTGGATTGCTCAAAGAGTATCTGGGTCCTAGCGGTAAACTTGGGCGTGCCAGCCATGATCAAGTTCTGGGATGACCATCTCAAGGACAGAAGCCAAGGACAGCAGGACAAAGCTCCTTTCAAAGAACTGAATGGGTTATTGAGGCAGATTGTCAAGAGAGAGTTCGGATCGCCTTTGGCCAGAAGGTTGACAGATATTGTGCCGTTTCTACCGTTCAATGAGGGTGAGCAGGCGGTCGCCACCTACAAATTCATGCGCACTCTTTGGCAAGAAGTTCGCAAGCCTATAAACGTCGAGTCAAACGACCTCCTACGAAACATCTTTCTCGATTTCGTCGATGATGGACAAATTGCCAAACACCTTGCGGCAGAACATTACGATCCACAGGAAGGCGCCAGCCAGCTCCACAACGCCGTGGGCCGTGAGATACGTGGGCGGCTTACAAGAGCGTGGTACCGAGGGAAGGGAATTATTGTCAATGAGACGATTGAGCAGCCACTGGCGAAGTACGACGTCAGCGTGGTTACCACATCCAAGGACGACAACGAAGTTGCTGTGAGATGCGTAGGCACTTGCAGGCTTCAGCTTCGGCCCGAGGTATTATAACCATGGGAGTCTGCCTGCAGGGTTAGATGTTCTGCAGGAGTGGATGCTAAATGGGGATCTGAGATAAGCTTGGCAACTGGTGATAGACTGGAGTCAGAGAACATAGACATATCATGCAAATGGGAAAGCCCATGGCTAGTTTCCCATCGCAATGTAATTGCTAAAAGGATCGCTGGAGTTCTCTCTCTGCATTCACCTTATCCTCATAGTGTTGGTCCTTGGTCTAGGCCACATCGAACGTGTAGATCCAAGTTCTTGTCCCCATTGAGTCAACCATTCTTGTACCAATCGATCTGCTCACGGTTCTTCGCCTTAAACGCAAACCGGCGGACGCAGGCCCTCCATTGTGATGGTTGAAAGATTGGTACAGGCCCTCGCGCTGTCACACCGCTACGCACTAGGAATTTCATGGTATGCTCATCTTAGGAACTAGAATTGGAGAATGGGGCGGGGTCATCACCGTGCACACTGATGGTACCTTCTCATACTGGTACAGACTTCGACAGCACGTGAGAGGTTGAAAGGAAAAAATCCGATGGAAGCAGCTATTGATGAGGTCCGAGGTTCAACCGAGCAGTCTTGGCACTGATCCTTTGGGTCATCTTTCCTTTCGTCTTGTCTTTTTTACAACATTATCTCTGTTTCCGTCCGGACAAGATATCAATGTGTTGAGAGTCATTTGCGCCCAACTGCTTTCGCCGCATTTGGACCCACATTACGATGCGAGGGGCTCCATTCACTTTTCATTGGGGATCCACCCGCAATGGTTTAGTGGTAGCAGGTAGGAAAAATAAGTCGCAGCGAGATGTTTCAAAGGAGCCCGGCAACTCGAAAGATAGAATACTGTGAACAGTGTCGCTGGAAAGCCTTCAACAGTCCTTGGAGCGCATCTGATTGAGGCTCTAGTGGACTTGGTCAGCAGAGGATTCGCCCATTCATTCCCACATGATTGCCAAGCTCAATTCTCGCAATCTCGATGTCTACTGTTGTACACCGTCGATCCTTCGCGCCTGAAACGAATCGTCGAAACTTCAGCTTGGCGAGTTATACTCCGACGGAAATGGTCGCCAGCAAAGGGCTGCAGTCCTCCCTACGAGTATCTCACGTGCATGTTCCCCGCAGTGTGTGTGTATGCGCGTCTGTCAATTTCGTGGGGGTCTGTCCCTGCATACGCGGTCCCGTTCAAGCGCATAGTATCTAGAATCTGACGATCATAGAAGCGATTTCTCTTCCGTTGATATAAGCAACAAGGTTGACCGCGATGGTCTCTGTCTACGCTGTAAATCCAATGCCGAGGAGTCTCTTCAAATCTCATCGAGCGGAACAGGATGTTCAAGAAGGCTTTCATGGCGCATTTCTTTCTCGTTGGGTGGCTCAGTTCCCTCATAGCAGCATTGCCAGCAACAAAACCACCAAGCAAAGCTCTCTCAGAAGGCATCACACTGCGATTGAAGTCTCAAACTCTCACATACAATGATTGAACGCCTGGATGCTGACAAAATCCCAGCAACACCCACCTCGACCCCCTGAACGCCTCCCAAATAATCCATTACAGCATCCCGCAAACCCAAATCGTCATCGTCATCGTCACCGGGAGTCCCATCGACGCCCCCCCCATGCGCAACACTCTAGAAGCATGTCTTTCGGCCGCGCATGCCGCCATGTTCAAACATGGTGACGTCTACATGTTTCCGGACCCATACGTATTCACGACGCTCCCTACACTGTACACTGGACTTGAAATAAGGGCGTACTCGACAATGGTACCAGGGCTAAAATGGATCGATCTTGCCAATATGCTTGTAGGGGTCGAGCATGTTATGTGGCAGCGGGCACTTTACAAAGAGGCGCATGTTAAAATGTTCGACGAGCCTAGTGGTTTGGAGATGGGAGTAGCGGATCTGTATAGATCTCCTGCAATTACTTTGGCAAGTGTTGCTGATTAATCATGATGGATCGTTGGCGTTTTTTGAATGAGGCTACCTCAAGCGGAGCATCCTAATTTCTTTTACACTTCCGGAAGGGTACGTCAAGGAAACCTTGGCGGAGTCTTTGACTGGGAAAGTCATCACTGAGCACCCCTTTTCTGCTCCAGCGGCTTATCAATGAACAGCCTCTCACACGTTCATTTTGATCTTTGACGAATCTACAACCGATCCGCTGCTATCGGCTTCAAAGGTCGTTGTGCGGAATTCGCGCTTGCCTTCTTTTTAGGGGGGATGAGGCAGATAGCCAAAAAGGTTGGCAGAGGTCAAAGACGTTGATGCTGAGGCTTAAATGTTGTCGATTCATGAAATGCACGTGCGACTGGACTGGATCTGTCACGTTTATAAACACGATGGTATGCTTGCTCAGGGCCATCAGATGCTTTGCCTAATGTTGCTCTCGAGAAAGTGGTAGTGTTTCAACGACTTCGTTTTGACATTCATTCTCAACAAGGTCAATACACGTCTCTAATGGAAAGCAACTTTCATGCTCTGACAATCATGTTTGGCTTACTGCTCAATACGATAGCAAATACCCCCTTGATCGGAAGCCTGCCTGAACTAGCCAGCAATATCAATGTCTTGCCTCCTCTGCTCTTGCCATCTCAAGCAAACCTCATAATCTCTTCAGTATCCCATCAGCATTGATTCTTGCCAAGCAAGTCTTGTTAATGTCTTTAACAGTCCTGCAGCCTGTCAATTGCATACATCGGCGGAATTCATTATGCATAGTCTCAAGCATAAGATCCACCCCCGCTTCCCCGTCGTACTACATCACCATTGACACATCAGCCGACTTCCAGGGTTGCATGCCACTCCCAGTATCATGCCAGTGGGGGAAGATACTCACCGCGAGGCCCCATATTGCAGGTCTTCCCACCCAACAGCAATTTGCTCCGAGCGCCAATGCCTTGAAGATATCCGTTCCAGACCTGAATCCTCCGTCTACGTGCACGGCAATCCTGCCATTCGCCGCTTCCACGCACTCTGGCAAGGCATCTAAAGTGGGCATCACACCATCGAGCTGCCTTCCGCCATGATTACTTACGATGATCCCATCGCACCCGTGCTCCACCGCCAACTCCGTATCTTCAGCGGTCAGCACGCCTTTGATCCAAATCTGCATCTTCGTCCTCGCTTTCAACCACGGAATATCCCTTGCCCAGCTGTGCGAGTCGTCGTTGAAGGCTACGAAGCCCGAGTCGTGAGTTCGCGATCGGACTTCCTCGGAAGTCCACTCGATGACCGGAAATTCAAGTCCCTCGGGTGTTCTGAAGTCATTCCTCCACTCATTATAACGGACACCCAAAACAGGCGAATCGGCAGTAAGGAATATAGCCTTGCAACCCGCCGCTTCTGCTTTTCTAATTATCCGTTCTTCGAGCTCACGGTCGCGCATCGTGTACAATTGTACTGCATGGTCTATGGACCCGATCTCCGCCGCGGCAGACCTCACATCTTCGATGCTATGGTTTGAGAATGACGATATGGCCATGTTAACCCCTTTTCTCGCACATGCTTTGCTGGTTCCTAGCTCGCCGTCCGGGTGAGCCATTGCCTGCAGACCTGCTGGGGAAACTGAGAGCGGGAATGAGATGGAGCGGCCAAAGGCGGTAGTGGAAGTGTCGACGCCGGACACATCGACCAGCACCCTTGGCCTCAAGCGGTATTTAGAGAAGGCGGTTGAGTTCTCGTGGATAGTGACTTGGTCCGTCGAGCCGGAGTTGTAGAATTCTGAAATCACAAGAACGGTCAATGCGTGTATCATGCGCGGAACGAAAGCAAGCAGTCATCGCAAATTTCAATGTCTCTTTTGTCGGAGCAGAGGATCTAGTCGGCATATCAATGATGCAGAATGTTGGTCTCCTCCTCTCTTTCCCGTCCACGTGATCGATTTCAAGAACACATTCCCAATGTCCTCATGCAATCGCAAGCATAAGACAGGTCGACTGGATACCACGACAGCGCCACAAAAATCGAGCATAGTAGAGTAGGGATTTCACATTTACCTCTCGCAGTCTTTCCCAGTTTCGTAGAAGCCGCCTTCTCCAGGTCCGCAATGCTAAGGATCTTCTCATCGGGATCCGATGTCGGAACAGGAACAGGAGCGCCGCCGGCCATCGCGATTGATACGGTGTAAATGGAGCAATGTCAATGTCTCGCAATAACATGCAGAGTGAAGGGTAGGACTCTGAAGTATTCACTATATGCGAATTCGATAAGCCTCATACGGAGGAGAATCTGACGCTAATGCCTATCTAGGAAGGTCCTAGGCCGTTAGACGGAGGCCGGACACAAACGCGGGGCCGCCTTGGAAAACATCTGGGCCGTCTCTCTAGTGTTTGCAAAATCTGGTGTGTTACCGAAGCAGTGAGGAGGAAATCGCGCTCGCACACCAAGCTCCGCAGTCGCTGTACTCGTAACAACAGCCCTCGCTCCGACCTCCGCATTTGGCTCGGAGAGGCGACACCTTCGCGTCTTGCGATAGAAGTCGATAAGACATGCCGATTTCTGCTTCTATGTGACCTACTGTCGTTTGTTAGACATTGAATTCATGATCACGGTGAAGATAGCAAGTTGGAAGGCACTACAATAACAGTGCCATGCAGAAAGTAACCCATCTTAGTGAGATGTGCGTTCATTCAAGAATTTCCGAAGTCTCAATCTACATTGAGATTGTTGGCTGATACATAATGACCCTATGTCAAGAACCTATCTAGTGAGGATTGCCGGTGTAAGTCTGCCAGTGTTGTTAATGTTAGCGTACAGTCCCTCAGCATCTCATGCATTCCTGCAGTCTATCGTCGACCATGGCCTTGTCACTCTCCAAGCGCCATGCAGCCTTCACCTTCTTCCTGCCTAAAGATACGTGCGATCGCCTTTGCGTCTTGAACTTGCTGCCCCTCTAAGCGCTTCTGCATCTTGTCCTGGCGATGCTGTGCGTAAACTGGTGTTCGTTTTCAATGATAGTACCTCTGTTGAAGCACCAAAACAGGAAGCCACGGTTGCAAACGTTGACCAGGAAGTTCTCATCATCCAAGAAAGAAGACCTACCAACTTCTCCTTGGTCATGGTTACTCCCCGCCAGTCCGACGCGTTGGTCGACTCTCGAATCGTCCTCGGTACCCATAGTAGCAGCAAAGTCGATATCGTGGTTCGGGTTAGGCGCTTTCTGATCCTCAAGACCAAATCCAAAAACATGAGGGTAATACCGTCATTTGGCTACTGCTAGAGGGCTATGGACTCACGTGGTGCCTGGTGGTACTGAGTCTGCTGTGTTATCGTTGTTTCCCCTCGTGTACAGCACAAGCAGCCAGAAAATTAAGCAGTCAGTCATTGCCAGGCCAACATCGACACCAAGGACCCTCTCTATCTTTATTTGCCTCTCCGCGTTTCTCTTTGAATCCTGCATCTATCTCGGTCATTCCATAATATTTGTAAAAGGCCCAGACAAAGAACCCATGTTGGCATGCATTAACCAGGAACCTCTCGTCTCCGAGAAAGAGCGTTGCATCATCCCCCAACCGTTCGGAAGCCCTCGTCGCTCTCGTCCTATGAAGGTAAGGCCGAATTGCAGTCCCTTGCTTATGATTGCGGCGGCCGTGAACGATTTCGAAAAGTTGATGACGTTCAAGCATGTGTAATTGCTGTAGTGTTGGGCTTGGCAGTATGCAATGTCGTTCCAGGAAAAGATAAATTTCATATTAGTACTCTTTGCACCGCAAGTCGTCGCGGCTTTGCTTGTATTGCACACCATGCATCTCGCAAGCAGTCGTGAAAGGTTTCCGTTCCCTGACTGTCGAGTAGGACCAGACGGTTGCCCATCTATTGGCATCAGTGGGTGTGCTTTTTCAGAGTGTCTAGCATGAATCTCTGCGTTTGACAAATCCAAGGCGCCTTCAGCGTGGACCTGGCCCTCAAGACTGAAGCGCGTGGAGTAAATAGCCTTTGCTTCAGTCACTCGTTCACAAATCACCAGAATCTTTTCGATGTTTGTAGGACTCAATTGAAACCGATGTTCCAGTTCCTTTGCGAGATCAGTGATCCGGCGTTCGCCGGTGAGAGTGGTGACAGCCATCATTGAACTTGGTCAGTGCCTTTCCATCACTCTGTTTTGTCAAACAACAGCCATCGTCTTCGAGAGACAGAACGTGCATAGTAGGTGTAATATTGTCGATCCAAGCGACTTTACTGTTCGAATAGGCCACGTGGTTGGAAAACGAACCATAGGAGGAGATTGGTCGTCGGACAGTTAGCATATCAAATGCTGTTCCAGACCGGTATGCGCTGATGTGTTCTGCCTTCAGAGACGAGATAGCCCTTTGCGACAGACCCTCAGGGATACGTAAAGTCGATCCGCCAGTCCCATGCCAAGGCCGCAACAGACACTGGGTAGTCTGGCAAGACACCAGAATGCTTAATCAGTCTTTGGAAATGGCTCGAGCTCTAACGGCATGAGAGAGCCCCAGATACTGTGCGATCCTCTGGCTGAGCTCAAGCGGTAGTTTGGTAGAAATGCAGATTTCGATGAACACTCAATTCCAATCAAAGGTTAGACAATTTTTTACTAGAAAGATGAGGACTATTGCAGCTCAGATTGTACCTCTCGAGATGCAAGCAACTTTTAGTGTCGCCGCAAGAAAAATAACAGTAACAACCCCTGTAATGGGATAGTAAAAGACTTTTTTTTCTCATACTCAGCCAGCATGACCATAGAGGGCAATGTCGAAGCCGTAAGTCTTGGAGCCAGTCTTCTGCTACTGTACAAGAGTGCGGCGCATGTGTAAGCATGAACAACCAGCTTTACTGGACACTTGGCGGAAACTGGGAGTATGCAGTTAGTTGGAGGTGCTGATGCGCCATCGTTTCCGCATTCAAGAGTACAGGTGAGACACATTTTACCAAGATACGGATAGTCTCGTATGATCCTATATCACAATTTGTGCAACAGCCTCGGCAGTTGGTAGCGAGCGTATCACCATCAGTCTGCCCTGGACCGCAAGCGGTCGTAGCGGTGCAGGACGCAGAGCATGATGTGTCTTGGCACATAACTGGCAGCTAGGGGGGTACTGATCTTCATGTTGGGGGAGGAGAGGGTGGTGAGTGTTGCAGAATAACATGGCGAGGTATCGTGAAAGCATATCGCCATCAATGACAGGGGATACACGCCATGATCATCATCTGCGATGTTTGAGATGGGCAAAAGCTGTTGGGCATACTACCAGGCAATGACCTTAGCGCAACAAGCAGTACGGCAAAGGTGAATATTCTCCGCATGGTTGCGCTTTTGGTGCTGTCTGGTCATTGTCCATTTCATTGGTGATATCTGGGCATGGGGCGCAACGCCAGCTTCTATGCCTGTGCTCACGCATTGATTGTTAATTAATATCTGTTGACCAATCTCTTCGCGCAATGCTGGTCGATAAACTCGGCGTTACTATAATGGCCCTTTGAGCTTAATATGCTCGACGTCGAGTTGGCCAATTGAAAGGTGAAAGACTGGTTGGGCTAAAGCAAGAGACAAGCGCAGCCGCGTGAAGCGTCTTGCGCAAAGTAAACAAAGACGTCATACATAGCTCTTGCCATATCTGCTATCTGCAAATTTGAAGGATCAAAAGAGGTAGGAGTTGAGAGTCCCGACACTGACTCACAATCTGTACCATGAAAGCCAACGATAGCGCCTCTCAAATCTCCTTTGACACCCTCCGCACCCACCTTCTGAGCTACGACTCTCACATCCCAGACAAGATCCAAGGTCTCGAACAGCTACGCCTCAGTACGATCCCTGAAACTCTCGTTCAGCGCAAAAAGAATGGCAAATCATTCCTTGAAAAAACAGAATTGACAAGCCTAGTCGAATGGAAACTGTGCGTCTGACATATTCCTTCGCAAACCTCAGCAGCTTATAACTCGATGACCATAGAAAACATGGTACCTACCGTCCTAATCTTACTAAGCTCGTCGCGTCGAATAGCGTCAAAGACGTCCGTGAGACGACGAAGAAAGCATTCGAGCTATACGAGGTGGATAAAGACGACTATGGCAAGTCTATCACAGCCCTGAATAAGCTGAAGGGAATCGGGCCCGCAACGTCGTCACTACTACTGTCGTGCTACGACCCCGTAAGAGTTCCGTTTTTTTCCGACGAACTCTACCGCTACCTACACTGGGAGGACGCCAAATCGAAAGGCTGGGATCGAAAAATCAATTACACAATCAAAGAATACAAAACCCTCTTCGAAAGAGTAGCCGAGCTCCGAGAGCGTCTGGAGAAACAATCCGGCATAGGAGTCTCCGCCGTCGACATCGAAAAGGCCGCATACGTGCTCGGCAAAGACGTGCTGCCAGATTCCAAGATATTTCCCATAGACACCGAGGACGCCGAGGGCGACAAAACCCTCAGGCCCCCATCGCCGAAAAGGCGAAGAAAAGTCATGCCAGAGTCCCAGAAATAAACCTTGACAGCAACATAGCGCGCATCGATGAATGCCGTCGCAAAGGCCTGAACGGCTCCCCTACCTACGACACACTCGGCTTCGAGCTCGACAAGGAGTATATCATTAAGCACACCGGCGGTCATCCCCGCCCACATGGGGCAAAAACCTTAGATCGACTGGAGCCAAAACGCAAAGATAGTGAGAAGAAGGCAGGTATCATGGGGGTAGCGGGAGACGACAATAAGATCCACGAACAAGCGTGGGATGATCGCGTCGCTAAAGATTTGGGTAGTGCATTTCATGGGGTAGGCATGGAGAAGTATGAAGAAAGGCAAAGGAAAAGCTTCAAAGCTAAGGGAAGATGAATTTGATCTGAGTAATGAAGAACAGGACAGGTTAATGGACTTGATGTGTGGCAGTGCTTTGAGCAAAGGAAGCAAGCATTGCTAAGCACAGCGGATGAGTGGAGTAAGGAAAGGGCCCCTAAAAAACGTGAAATGACACTTTTCGAAGACATCGCAGAGAGCGTTCGTCAGAGCGTCAACTTTGCTGACTTCCAATGAATCTGTGGTTGTTTCTTGAGTCTAGAGACGCACTCAATGAAATGAGTATCCCGGAACATGTTTGGCCAGTCATGTCTCGCCTTTCCACTCCGTCCTACCCAATCTGATAATGTCGTTCTGACTGACCACCCAAACCCCCTCCTCTCTTTTGCCCTCCACGCATTGCATCCCAGCCGCAACAGCAGCCCTGCCAATAACATCCGCATCCTGTGCCCACCAGTCTGTCAACCACCCCTTACTTATCGCGCCTAGTCCCTTTGCTACAACCCGGAAGGCTGCCTCCATAGGCCGACTATCCTTCCTCGGTCCGACTAGCAGCCCTGGCTTCACTAGGATTGTGTGAGGAAACCCAAGCTCTTGAACCGCTTCATCCAATTCGGCCTTCATCTTGCCGTACGGGAACAAAGATTTGGTGGAGACGCCAGCCGATGAGATGAGTACGTAAACTTTGACTCCGGACTCCTTTGCAGCCTTAGCGAGAGAAACATTGAGATCGTAGTCTACTTTGCGCTGGGCTTCGAAGGAGCCCGCTTGCGCTTTGGTGGTGCCGAGGCCGGAGAGGAAGATGTTTGGGGTTGGGGAGAGAGATTGGAGACTGGAAGGCCATTTTGAGCTGTCAGGTTCGATGAGAGGGTGAACGTTGGCTGAAGAAGTTGGGAGGTCGCGGCGGGCTATTGCATGGATAGTGGGATGAGAGGAGAGAGACGTGAGGGTCGTGAGGATGTGGGAACCCTATATGTTATTCAGTCTGAGTAGCTGGAGAAGTCGATATCAGGTTTGGAATAGCTACCACAAGCCCAGTGCAACCTACGAGCGCTGCTGATGACATTCCTCCTGCCATGATGGAAGCTGTACCTCTATTGACAATGATCGACGACCGATCTCATGGCCATGACAGGGATTGAGATTGCCGGAGATTTAAAGTTATCTAATCAGCGGACACCAAAAATGCCATGTAATTACTTTTCAATGCCGCTGATCGGATCACGCAATTCTTGCTAGCAAACCGCTGTGGCGGTCAAAAAGTCCGAAATGATGTCGGTGAAAATGGACGCTTACCAACACTGCTTTCCTTGGTTCTCTCATTCTGCGCATTCTTTCTTCCTTCTTTCTCCCTTAACTGTTCTCTTTGCCCGTCATGCGTCTTCAACCAGCCGAGTCCAACGGCCCAGCAGAGCCCGAGCCTGTTCGCGAAGGGCCGGAGAAAAAGCTGAAAGAATTCAAGCAATACTCTACAAGCCTGCCCTTCAGTCAGCCCATATCCTTAGCCTCAATTGGTGGACCCACATATGTTACGGCCCAGACATTGATCCAGCAAGTCGCCTACACCCTTTCCGACAGGCTATGGACGTACTCGCCTGAGACATTCGACCTCGATGTCGCTGTCAAAGATTGGTTTGGAGAGGGGTCGAAAAATGTTCATGGATACCCCACGAATGTCGAGTCCATGCAGATTCGGCAGGGCGCTGCGTCCATAGCGTTGGGATACATCTCCTCTAAAGATTTCGACCGGAAGAGGCGCTACGTTCCTCAGTCAATCCTAGCATCGTCCTCCACTCTACAGTACCTTCAAGCGGCTTTAAATCAGCTCTCACAGCTATACTCCGATGTCAGTCCATTTGTGGCTCATATCGCGGCCATTGACTATGCTGGAGCTTCCTCACAGTTGGTCGCGGATTATGTCTCCGCTTTGTCGCTGGCAGAAGAGCTGGGATTCGGCATGGTGTCTTCATTCTCTGCATATGAGGCGCAGCATATGGCATTGCTCTCTACGCTGCTTGCGAGCATCATGCCCACCATACACATTTACGATGGGGTCAGCATTGGCAGGGAGACAACAAGAGTTATTGATGTCCTAGATCAAGCTGGTCTGCACAATACCTACAAGGCCGTTCAGAATGAAATATCTGCACCAGGAAAGAAGAGTGTGAACACAGACACGAAAGTGCTGCGACTGCTGAAAGCGTTGAATGGCGAGCTTGGTACTCAGTACGGGGTCTTCGAGTATCACGGCCACGCAGCACCAGACTCGGTGCTGACAGTCTTCGGGACTGTAGAGTCGTCATTGGCCTCGCAGGTTGCTCTGTCGCTCGAAAGAGAAGGCGCGAAAGTGGGAGTCGTGAATGTCAGAGTCTACAGGCCATTCATTGAAGAGGAATTTCTCGGGGTCCTGCCTGAGTCAGTGAAGACGATCGGTGTGCTTGGTCAAGTTGACGATCAGCAAGCGGTATCGGACAGCAGCGTGCGCTCGAATCTGTATTGCGACGTTATAGCGGCGATCGCATACTCAGACAAATGGGCAACGCCTCCCGCGGTACTAGACGTGAAATATGCGAGGGAAACTGTCTGGACGCCTGTCTCTGTTGCGGCAGCATTCCAACTGTTGGTGGAGAAGCCAATTTTGCAATCTGAGGACATATGGACTGAATCTGGAGCCCCTTCGGCCCTCCAGTTGCTTGACCCTTCATCTGTTCAGCAGTATACCTTTTGGGACATTGATACCTCAGACTCGGCAAACGCGCCGGTTGCGCTCGGCCAAGCTTTGGCAACAGATTCCGCGAACAACGTCACCACCAAGACAGGATACGACAATCTGATTCAAGGAGGAGTGTTCCGTTCTGATATTCGGAAGTCTAAGAAGACGATCGAGGCTTCTTACTCGATCGATGCAGCAGATGTAGTCTATGTCGGCGGCGAAAGCCTCCTCAAGATGTATGACATCCTCGGTGGCCTCAAGGCTGGCGGAAAGATCATTTTGAAGCTACCAGGCGTAAAAGATGACGATCTTGAAAAGAAGCTTCCAGTCGAATTTAGAAACGCATTGGCCGCCAAAGGTGCTAAATTGTATATTCTTGATCCACCAGCAGTTGAGGTCATAGCCAATGATCCAGCACAGGAAGTATACTTGACGGAGCTGGCATTCTTGCGCGTCGCGTTGCCCAACCTTGAGAAGACTGGATTGCAGAAGCTGGCCTCTGTCAACGGAACAATCGAGACATTGCAGGAATTGGCCAAGGTTCTAGACAACGCTTTGCGACTCATGGAGATCCCCAAGACTTGGGCCACCGAGGAATTAGAGGGCACGCCACCCTCATTGTTCAAGGACATATGTACGAGCAGCTTTGTAGCTTACGACAAGATTGAGGTAGACCCACCCACGTATCTCAAAGACTGGAAGACGGCGGCCAAAGGCTTGATTTTCAAGGAGGCTTACGGCACAAAGCCGGCACTGCGCCCAGATGTCAACGTCAAGACCTTCACAGTGCATGTACAGGAGAATCGCAGACTTACGCCGCCATCTTACGACAGAAATATTTTCCACATCGAATTTGATCTTGGGAATTCATGCCTGACCTACGATATTGGAGAAGCGCTCGGTATTCATGCTGAGAATGACGAAGTCGAGGTCGAGGAGTTTATCAAATTCTACAAGCTTGATCCTAAGGAGATTGTTGAGGTGTCGAGTCGCGAGAATCTCGAGGTGCTCGAGAACAGGACAGTGTACCAAGCTCTTATGCAGAATGTCGACATCTTCGGCCGACCACCGAAGCGATTCTACGAAGCTTTGGCTGAGTTCGCCGATGATCCCAATGAGCGGAAAGAGCTTACCACATTGGGAGGCCCTACCAAAGAGGGTAACCAGGAATTCAAGAGGAGAGCCGAAGTAGATACTATCACTTACGCCGACATCCTTTTGGAGTTCCCTTCGGCCCATCCAAGCTTCCATGATATTGTCCGCATTGTTAGTCCGTTGAAGCGAAGAGAATACTCAATTGCGTCATGCCAGAAGGTGACGCCGAACAGCGTTGCTTTGATGATTGTGGTGGTCGGCTGGGTAGATCCGAAGGGTCGTGACAGATTTGGTCAAGCTACAAGGTTTCTTAACAAGCTCAGAGTCGGCGCTCCTGTCACTGTCTCCGTCAAGCCGAGTGTGATGAAGCTGCCACCGAAGTCTACCCAGCCATTGATCATGGCTGGTCTTGGCACTGGTCTTGCGCCATTCCGAGCGTTTGTGCAGTATCGCGCGTGGGAGAAGGCACAGGGCAAGGAGATTGGGTCCGTATTGCTCTACATGGGCTCGAGACACCAAAGAGAAGAGTATTGTTATGGAGAGGAGTGGGAGGCCTATCAGGATGCTGGTGTCATCACGCTGCTTGGTCGTGCTTTCTCCCGTGATCAGCCGCAGAAGATCTATATCCAGGATCGGATGAGGCAGACAATGAATGATATCATCCAGGCTTATCTGAAGGAGGAAGGGGCTTTCTATCTTTGTAAGTGCTTCTGCAAAAGCGTGAAGACGAACTTACTGATGCGTTGCTGCTAGGCGGTCCTACATGGCCTGTACCTGATGTCACCAACGTGCTTGAAGATGCTATCGCCAGGGACGCACAGATGATAGGCAAGAAGGTGACCCCGAGGACTGAGATTGAAAAGTTGAAGGATCAGCTGAGATATGTTTTGGAGGTTTACTGAACTCCAAGCATTGCAAGCATATCTGCTTTCTAAGCGTGGCGTAGGCGGTGCGTCTGAATTTCTCGGATATTTCGCACCTATACGGATAGAACTGATACATTTGATTTTTGACCCTCCATCCACTACCTTCCCCATCCTGCACCAAGTTTGTCCTGCATGCAAAAGATCTCCTTTGTGAAGACTATGTATCAGTCAGGGGTTCAGGGGCAATATTTGGTTTGAGAAGCACGCCTTGTAAGGCGACGCTAGGCAAGGAGTGTTACCGATTGGACAATGATCGTGGCGCGAAGTTTGCGCTCACTTTGCTTCTGCTTGCAAACAGTCATATTATGATACAACATAGTCACTATAACAGCATTGACTTAGCGATCTTAGTAATGGCTTCGTGAGTCCACTAACAGCAAATTTCATCATCTGAGGAGTCTCTCACGCACTGTCGCAAACCTCCGCGCTCACCCGCACCGCAAATCAGCAGCCCCACATCAATTTCCCGACAGCACAAAAAAGTACACAGAATGTCTGGCCGCGCCTCTCCATCACCAGGCAGAAGACCACAGCTGAACGAGCGCGCTTCATCCTCGGCTTCTCTCTCCAAGGGGTCTCCAAATACCGGTCATCTCTCCAAGTCGCACAACAAAGGATCCTCAACCAAGCTGCACAAGGCGCATGCCGTCGGTCATGGACGTCACCCGTATGGAAGAGTGCCATCACATGGCAAGGGTCTACACAAGCTCTCCAAGTTGGGTCCTGGCGATGCAGGAGAGGTTGCAGGACACACGAGACACCATACTAGATCAGCGTCGCATACACCAACGGCCAGCCCAACAACACAGAACTTCAAGCGCAATAGCTCTAATCTCAGCTTACCAAGAGTTGGGTCTAAGGCGTCTATAAAGAAGAATAAATCCGAAGTATCTCTGGGGCGGAACCCTTCATTGACCAAACTGGGGAACCAATCGAAGGGAGAGAAGGCGCAGACGAAGAATAGCTTGCGCAAAAAGGGCGATGATGATGGTCCCGTGAAAGGGCAAGCGAGCTTCGAGGTGGGAAATGAGGATCACGAGAACGATGACTGGACAGAGGAGAGCAACTCACAGTCACCCCATACCACTCGACATGGCTCAGTAGGTCGTAAGACTCCCCAACTGGAAGATCCTCCTTCGCCAGATGAGCCCGCAGAACCGTCTCCTCCAAATCTCCCTCAATCACCACCACAGTCTCCACCTAATAATCCTTCAGCTTTCGTCGATCATGCAAAGGAGCAAGATCATCATCGAGACAGATCCCCATACTCTCACCCACCAGACGCAGACGACGTGACTCACCGTCTCCTCAATCGCAGTGCCCACAACGCAGCACCTAAAACATCTAATGTATCGGCAACAGTTACACCAAATGGCTCCAGCGGTTCTCCAGCATTCGTTCACAGCCAGGACTCCGCATTCGGTAACAGGGATTCCATGCCCGGAGACGGCATATCTCGCTTCCTCAACGGCACAGGCTCGAACTCCGGCAGCGCAACACCAGGCTCTGTATCTCACCTTCAGCAAAATCTAGCACATCTCAACCACACCACCCACCATGACCGTCCAGGCTCTCCAACAGACTCATCCTCAACCGTCAAAGCCCCTACTCGCAGGGTCAAATCTGCGGCTAATCTGTCCCACCCGCGTCTCAGCAACGGCGAATCCAGCTCAGCATCCCCACCCATACCGAAACAATCCAATGGCAAGAACCCACTCAAGCCTCCAAAAGAAACTCGCGTCTCACCCTTCGAATCAGCCCGCGGCGCCGATCCCACTAAGGGCAAATCACTCACGCAGCTGAAGTTGGATCTGCAGCGCATGTCCACGCAGCGTGATCCACCATCCGATCAACACCCGCTCTTGCAACACGGGTCAGGGTTCGGAATCCAGAATCTCAGCGCTGGGTCGAAAGAGATGGAGGCGAGACAGGCAAGGCAGTGGACGCAGGCAAGGGTCGAGTGTGCGAATGCGAAGCGGTTCTATCCCGACTTGCTTGCTGGCAGTCTCAAGCAACAAGCCGTGCAGAGCAAGCTCGATGGGCGGAAATTTGATGGACAAAAGAAGCTGGATGGGAAGAAAGCGCCTGATGGGCATAAGGGGAAGAGCGTCAAGACGCCAGTCGGGAACTCTGGGGAGGCGGCGCACGGGAGGGGCAGAGTGAGATTTGAGGTGGGGAAGGGAAGCCCAGAGTTGGTGGAGGAGCATGAGGAGGATGGGCCGATGGACGAAGGTGTGGAAGGGCTGCTGAGGAGGATGTGGGTGCAGGGAGAGACTAGCGGTGGGGAGGAGTAGCTGTGTTCATTCAGGCGGTGGATTGCAGCCAAGGAGACGGGTGGCTGTGAGATTTGAACATATGGTAGGCGATGATGCTTTATGAGGCCTGTCAATCGGAAGCGATGGTGTTGGGGGTGGAGCATTCCAAGGAGCTTGAGAGGTGCATTGTTGGACGCAGGGCCTTCAACCAGACTTCTTCATTAGTTTGGCATGAATGCGGGTTCGAGCTTGTATATACCGTTGCCCTTAGGTGGGATATTTCAACACGCGCGTGCAAGGCTCATTGAGCCTTGCAAATAGCAGTTTAGAATACTTCGGTGCTTCAAGAGCGAGAACTCGAGATCATGTTACGTTGCTCGAGTACACTTGTACGATATCACCTTTTCTTACATTCCATCAAATGCTACAGATTTCGGGCTGAAAGTATACCTAGATTCCTAGTTCGCAGGCACTTTTTGAAAGGAGCGGCTTGCAACTAAGACAGGCTTTGCATGTGTCGACCACGACAACCATCAGCGTCGACAACAGACATGGCCAACATAACAAATGTGATGTCGGCGATGAGTATGATAACGGCGATGACTGATGGCGACCAGGAAGTGATGTGTTGGCCGTGATAAGATGTATCTATGGGTCTCAGGCTTTGCGGACGATCCTCCCATGGGCTCGCCATCTCTCTCATCAAATCTCAGCCTGATCATTCGTCCAACCTATTCGCTCTGCAAATTCCCGCATGACATATTAAGAAGGGGGCATGCAGTTGTCAGCTTTTTTCTAGTTTAGCGTAAGATAGAAGGCTGCATGCTCTGCGCCTCGCAAGCCTCGTCAACAACTGTCAATGTTTCCATCAACATACATCATCTCTCAAGCAGACAAAGCAAAAATCTCCGTCAGTCATCATCAGTTTTGTGCACGCTACTATCTGCTGATGGGAAAGAAAAGGCCAGCGGTGCCTTTTGACCAGAACCTGGCCTCTTGGAGGTTATAAAGTACCACTTCGGGTGGAATCACAGACCCTACTTACCAGTGCAGTAAACAAAGTGCAAATCAGAATTCAGCGCCATGAGCTTTGACTTTAGCATCGGCGATATCATCGCGGTGTCGCACCTGGCCAACAAGGTCCGCAAGCGCTTGGTGGACTCGCCTGATCAATTCAAGGCTGTCTCTGATAAGTGAGTCGCTCCCACTTCTTTTGAACGGTAGCGAAGATACAAAACCATGTCTTTTGATATTTGCGATGGTATGTACACTTCGACAGCGCCTGTTGGATCCATAGTTTTCGCCTGTACTCTACACATCGTTCCTCATCATACATTATCTTTCTTTGAAGCCGTTTGCTCTGATACATGTTGGGGTAGTGGCTTCGGGCTTCGATCGACACACCCAAAATTAGAAGGGTGAAAAGCCTCTCCAATATCCATCGTGACCTTGAAGAAGTCCTACCGGAGCGAGAATTCGCGCCTCAGCAACACCAGGATCGCCAAGATCACATCCGAGGATGCGAGAACGTGCTCAAAGACTTGGACAAGATCATGGACAAGTATCAAACTCTGGATGCCAATCTCGCAGGCTTCGGCAACAAATATCGAAAACTTTGGAAGAGCTCATGTTTGAGCCTGAAGGCTTGAGAGAACTTCGCCTCCGATTGATCTCCAATATCGGGTTATGGAATTCTTTTACCACTACACTTTCACTGTAAGTACAAATTTATATCGGAATGGATTTGCATTTCGTCTTGAGCATGCCAGCATTCTCGTCGGTAGTGATTTGGCTTCCACCATGGCTAGGGCTACTTGATCCATAGAGTTGTCGTATCCACGATATTCATGGTCAAGGCAGCGGATAGTGCCGATTCACCTTGATGAACTCCTCGTTAGTGCACACCCATACACATATAGGAGAGCAAGTCTCTGGATTTATTCTTGACAACGGGAAATGCGTTACTGATGTTCGTGATCAAAAATAGCGGGCTTTCTAAATCGACAAAAGCTGGTGTAGATCTATTGAACAGACATCAAAACGAGCAGCATCTTCATGCAGTTGCAGAATGGCTGTCAACTTCAGACTATCCTTCACAGCAGACCGATCTCTTCAACCAATGTCAGGAAGGGACTGGGCAATGGCTTTTTCATTTGAAAGAATTTCAAGCATGGCTTGACGGGACCGAGTCAACGCTTTTCTGTCCCGACATTCCCGGAGCTGGCAAAACGATGATAACATCCATCATGATAAACAACCTTCAGCAACGTTTCCAGGGCGATAAGAAGGTTGGCATTGCTTATGTCTATTGCAATTACAGACGACAGACGGAGCAGACGATCCCCCATTTTATGGCAAGCCTGCTCAAACAACTAGTTCAGCAACAGCCCAACCTGCCTGAATCAGTCAGCACTTTCTACTCCTGACACATGGAGAGACGGACAAGTCCATCGTCCATGGTCTCGCTAGAGCGTTTATTGTGATGGACGCTCTTGACGAATGCACTGACACGAACAAACCAGGATCGATTTTACTGGAAGAAATCGCGAACCTCCAAGTTCAACCAAATACACATTTCTTTGCAACCTCGCGCTTCATACCCGATATAACAGCGAAGTTCAGAGGCGTGGCAACCTTAGAGATACGGGCAACAGATGCAGATGTGCAAGTATACATTGAGAATAAGATTTCAGAGATGCCAATTTGTGTATTCACGCAATCGAGCGCTGGAAGATAAAATCCGGGCAGAAATAGTAAAATCAGCTGCTGGGATGTAAAACTTATCCATTGCTCTAATCGACTAGACACCAAGTTGAGTGGTATAGGTTCCTTCTCGCAAAACTTCACCTAGCGGTCTTTCCGACAAGGTTACAGCGAAGGATGTCAAATTGCGTTGCGAGATCTGCCTAAGGAATCAGGAGCATTGGAAATCACATACACACAAGCTTTAGAGAGGATCAAGGGCCTAAAACCAGGCTTTCGGCGGCTCGCTGAAGCGGTCTTATCATGGATTATTTGCGCCCAAATACAACTGACCATCTAGACAATCAGTACGCTAGTATCGTTCTTGCCCTAGAAGTCTTTCGGCGTATAGGTTTGCGTATGATACGTCATTCTTTTGTCAGATCAGAATCTAGCAAGTTTTAGTCCTCTGACCCTAATTGTAACACCAATCCTATTTACCAGCGACTCCACCGGGTTTGGAACCTGTCTGGCGGTTCATGCACCTAGTGCAGCAACTAGCGGAGATGGAGTGGGCTAAGGTACCTTAGATCCTATTCCTACAAGGCTGCAGAGTTGCAAAGATGACAATTCGAGAGTAGAACAGACAACGCTCCAACGTCTTAGTCGTACCGCATTTCTTTTCGCAGTGCAGGTCGATCGCAATACATGGTCACCATGTCTAACGCTTGTGAAACATTGAGCCCACGTCCGGCAGCAGTGACGGGCCCGATAACAACGATAAGTGCAGACAATTACCTTGGTCTTGAGAGTGATGGCGAGGAAGGTTCAACCCGATCGAGCAGAGATGAGTTCGTTGATCTGGAGAGTGGCAATGCCCAGGAGCCAAACACACAGAGAAACGAGATGAGGTTTGTCTCGGAAGCAGGTCGGTATACTACTAGACATATGAGACACCCTGATTACAATACTGACCAATTGTAGCTAGTAAGAATGAGACATTTTGGTCCAAAATTACGAAACATTGGTTCGCTCCATTATGCCATGTAGAGGAAATAACAAGGCTGAGGCCTTGGAAAGAAGCTTGCTTGTTGCAATAAAACCTTCGAGACGCAGCAACTCGTCCAGAGATCTATGAAGTCACAGGCTCAACACCACTCAGTCTGATAGCTCGCAGAAAGGATGATCCTATCCTGGGAAAATGCCTATTCGATTAACTACTGCGCTGAACAAATGGCTTGACTCAAAGCCTCATATGATAGTCAGAGCGAAACCCTCATTTCCCTAGCAGGGTCAGCGTTGAATCCTCGTTTCTCTAGCAGGGTCAGCGTTGAATGTGAGACACGGCGTTAGTAAGCAATATGAAGACGACGACGCTGCAACAGATGAAGATTCTCATTTTCCCTCCCACTATTGCCCCAAGCCCACCTATCTCATCCCCGCCTGCTGCTGCACCTGCATCTTCGCCGCCTCCATCTCCTGCTCAGTCGGCGAATTGACAATCATCAGATACAGCACATTCTGCTTCATCAGCTTCCTCTTCTGCTTCCACGCCTTCCTCTCTTGTTTCCTACTCGGTGCAACGCCCGCCTGGATCCTCTCCTCGCGTCTCCTCGCTCGCCGCTCAGCCTTCGGTGGGATCTTGCCGCCGGAGATCAGCGTGAGCCACGAGCCCCTAAAAGCGGGATGGTTGGGATCGCTGACGCGGGTCCCGAAGTCGGGCTTGGGCAGGTCGAGGCGTTGGTCGGGGTTCTTGTGCAACTGGTGTCCGGCTTGTTAGTAGGCAGAGAAGGGGGGAGTTCGGGAGGGAAAGGACATACGTAGGACGCCTGTGCCCGCTTGTCGTAGTAGTCTGTCACGAAGGCCATGCTGCTCTTCAATTTGCTCGCCTTTGCCGGGTCTTGCGTCTGCGCGGCTTCGTCCAGGGCAGGGAATACCAGTGGTGCAGAGTCTGGCATCTCGATCGCTCCGTACGACCGGCCCGCGTTTACTGCTCTGAAGTTCTGATACGATTTGTGGGGCGCATTTTCTTTGCTGATGATCGTGTTCAGGTCCGCTTGCTGCACGGATATTGGTCTTGTCCCTTGGGGGATGTACTTCATAACCATGGCGTACAGACCCCTGGGCTTGAACAACTTGTCGTTCATCTCGTCAAGGAAGCTGTGGGTGCGCTGTGTAGTCTGCATGTAAATGGCTGCCCCAGCAGCGAATTGAATAATGATACTTGTAATCTGGGTGATTGGCTCTGGGACGAGGCCTACAACGCCTGCGGAGACGAAGACGACGTTCAGCAGTGGCGATGCTTGTGACGCTGCGTGGAAGTTCTGGATGAAGGATAGGAAAGCTTCTTCGGAAATGCCTTTTTCGGCGAGGTCGGGCGAGTAAGCGTGGATGAAGCCGCGGTCTCGAGCGCCGGGTCTTCGCTGCGGAATGATAACGGGTCGTTGCAGCGGATTTGTCGGGTGATTCAGAGGCGGGCATTTCGCCATCACCACCGCGCTGAACGATTCGATCGTCGGCTGTGCCATCATTCCGTACTTGAGCTTGGGATCTTCGGCTCCGGGCGTCGCGACTTCTTCGGCTGCTTCGTCAAGAGCCCAATTCGCTTCGTCGCCGTCGCTGTCGCTGTCGCTGTCATTTTCGTGGGCCTCTCTTTCCTGACTTGGACCGTGTTTCTCGTCCAAGGGCAACGCTTTCCCATCTGCGATGAGCTCGTCCGCCCGCTCTTCGGGTACTTCGACAACTTGTTCGTAGGCTGGCGGTGGTTCTTCAAAGTCTTCGTGTGCCTCACGCGCTTCTGAGGATTTCCAAGAAGATATTGAGGATACTGCCATCAACCACGCCAGCTGATGGTGGAATCGGTGTACAGCGTCATTTGAACGTGAACTGGGCGCCCAGATCCACTAAAGGGCTTAGTGCATGATCTACAATTCGAAATGTGCCATACAGGACTACAGTCTCTACGATCCTACCCAGACTTAAGAGCTGCTCCTCATTCGTAAGTCTGCAGCTATAGAACGGACTCACCGCAGTATCAAGTCAAGCTCGCATACGTAGATAGACCACGCTGAGAGTCAAGCACTACTTCAAAGGATTCCTTCATCATTCGCTACCATGCCAGACCCAGAACCGTACACACCAGACAGACCCAATGCAGTAGAACTTGACATTATCTCTCTCCGCTCTTTCCCGTAGGGACTGGCATCGTGAGGGTGGACACTTACCCAACGACGCATTGCAAACATTTTGTATAACTTGTGCAGATGAATGACACTTCGCATCACGGCGGTCCGCGCTGCGGGCTCTTCGGCGAACATATTTCTTGTCGTTGTTTCGACAAGGACATTGAGCTGTCCGTGTACAGTCTTGGGATTTTTGCTTTGTGACCAAACCTCACACCATTTGTTAGTTGTGGGCGTGAGTATGCTTCGTGAAGTTCCCTCCAGAGTATTATTCCTTTCTCCTCATCTCCCAAACCTGGCAACAAGAGGCGCTGAGCATTTGCCGACGTCAGCTTCCTCCCAGGCTCTCAGTTGTCTGTGGTAAGTCGAGTACGAACTGTCTTTGTCAAACTCAAAGGCTTGGAGAGTGAATACTTCCCGACAAGTCATTGTTACTTTCCTTCTCAGGCGCAGATTCAGTACAAAGGAATCTAGGAGGGCAGGACACAAGAGGCGCAATGTAATTGTCGCTTCGCCGCAGAGGCTGTCTTTGTGTAATCCTCGAAGCAACTGTGCAGTATGTTTCTCCTTCTCTCCAAGCATCCAGCCTTCATCATCTTTCCATACGCAAAAGCATCCAGCCTTCAACATCTTTTTCCCTTTTCCCCCAATCAGCCCCAATTCACAAATTACACCACAACATGTCGCAATCTTTTTCTCAACCAGCTACTCAACAATCCAAAGGCAGCCTGGTGGAAACAAAGGCGAACAATGCAGTATCTGTCTTGAAAGGGAGTACGATTTTCATTAAAAACATCGACCGGAACGATCGAGTGTCAAATCCGCCTACCCTGCAACCACAGCCATAGGCTCATTATGCGTAGTCACCTGGCCTCAAACCGGAATGAAAATCTGCCAATCTGCCGGGCAAGTGTTCTTCGGTGCTGCGTCCCTACCGGCTACCACCAGAAGGACGGCTGGACCAGAGAGTGCCAGCAGCAGGCGAGTCTCAGGGGAAACGAATCCCCAGCCCTCTTCGTGGCGGACATTTTCCACAACCTCCAAGGTGCCACCCATGAAGGCCATGTTCCAAACAGATCCTGAGGTTGGCAACATCAATGGCCAGCGCTTCACGGAATTCTAACGGCTGGCCTTTTCTACACGCTGCGTGGCACCCGTCAACATTTACATGTGCACGTATCTGGGTGAAAGCTTAGATCGAGGGACATCGCGAGCAGCCAGCGGCATCGAGGTGCATGGGGCGGCGCATCTTTATCAAATTATGTACCCGCTGAAACCAACTGACTCGCATGTGAGATTCTTGAGCGTGGTAGTTCAGGCAAGGGAGTAATTTCAACCCATGAGTGATATGCACGCTTGGTTAGAAAATACAAACAGCACTGTTACCCATTTACATCACATTTCCTAATCATGTCTTTAAGGCAAGAATACTGTTTAAAA